CTTGGAACGTGGAACTCGACAGCTTTGCTGCCGATCAATCTCTTTTGTTAGAATGCTTTGTAATAACCAGTCCGAACATGAAGCAACTTGGAAGATTGAAGAAGAGATGATTGCGAAGTACCCGCAGCTGTTTAGGGACTAAGGTATGAATTTGAGGACAAAATTCCTTTAAGGAGACAATTATGTAATAACCAACATTTCTTCTTTACTTCCTTGTTGCTTTACCAACTTCCTAAATTGCGACCCTTTCTTTTTCTTCCCCCGCTCGTACTTGCCGCCTTGCTTTTCTTCGCTCATTTACCGCCTCCCGTGGTTATTTAGAGAGGGGTCAAGCGTAGGCTAAGGCACCTAACAACCTTGCCTCTTCCTTACCTACATCCATCGATCTCCCTCTTCCTCTCGATTAGGGGTGTAAATGAGCCGAACACGAGTGAGCCCAGGCTCGGCTCATGTTCGGCTCGTTTATATTTCGGCCTCAGAAAGTGTGTTCGTGTTCGACTCGTTTGCTTAGCGAGCCAAACATGAGTCGTTCACGAACAGAGTCATTTTGACAACCCTAATCACGTAGCTATAAGATATTAAGGCAAGATTTAAAAATTATTATTTATATTAAACCATCATTTGAATCTAATTTAATAAATTTTATTCTATTTTCTTCGTTAATACTTTTAATTGATTGTAAAATTTAAAATACTACTCATCAGAGATATATATATATAATTGACAGGTAGTATTTCAAGCCAAAACGAGCCGAACACGAATGAACAAATATTTGTTCGTGTTGTTCGTGTTCGGTTCGTTAACTTAGCAAACGACTCGAACACGAGCTGTTTTGACAATCCTCTCGATCTTCCTCCTCCAGCTCCTAATTTCACTCGAAAGCATCGACTTAGTGATTGAACTCCCACGAGACTATTGCGGTTAGAGCTAACAGAGAAGGCAATGGCGAGATTGCGGTATACAAAGGCCCGAAACTCCCATCTTCCTCATCCAACCGTTCGCTCCTACCCGAAACCGTCGAGGAAGGTAACCCTCGCCTTCCTCCCTCTCGCACACTTCAACTTCTCTAACTCCCACGGACCCATCTTCCATTTGATTCGCTAAATCCGGAGTTACGGCAAACCTGAAGGAAGACAAGATTTATGTAGCTTGGGTTTTTTTTTACAATTTATTAAATCTTTAGTGTATGTAAATTTCCCAACAATTGTATTTTTCCTTATATCAAAATTAAATAAAAATAAAGTAATATTTGATTCTATTAGTTAAGATTAATTAATTTCATAATTCCTTCTCTTAAGAGTATAGTTATAATAATCTATTTGATGTACTTACACATTAATCTTTGTAGGTCTATTAGCATACACCTAATTTAATGAATAAATAAATTTAATTGCTTAATCATTTATGTCTTATTTTTATAAATAGTGTAGGATTGCTAGTCGAACCATCGAAGATATAGAAGGGTCGTGTTTACCATCTTGAGGTAACTGTTGTTTATTGGAAAATAAACTTACTCTTCATAGTTAGGAGTGTTAATCATTGTCAATTATAGTAGATTCATAGCTGTTGTCAGTGATGCCCTTGTTCAATTTTGTGCTTGTTATAGGCGTTAATTATTGTTCATGATGATATCATTATCCATCTTAAATTATTGTTGCAAAGTTTTCTACATATTTATATTAATCATGCAGTTATGTTGTTTTCTTTTTCTGCACTTATATGAATTTGCATATGTCATATCACATGTCTGCATGAGATATTATAATTTTAACATGTTATATCTGTGAAAACAATTTAACATGCTTGTGTCATGGTTTGTACGTCGATATAATTCTTTTGGATTTTGGCTAACCGGGTCGACGGGCCTACTGAGCGACGAATCTATAGGATTTCGACGAGTTTCCTTCGGTTGATATTTGTCCTTCCTGGTTTCAGTGTCTGTTAAAACTGGCTATATATATATATATATATAATTTATTTACTCACAAAAAATTTGATCGTAAATGATTGAATGTTTCGCATGATATGCATATTTAGTTTTTATCCTTCTTGTTGGTCTTACAACGTTACACATGCACATATTGATTTTTTCTTGTTCATATTGCATGTCTCATTCTCTTTGTCGTTTATGATTTAATAAATAGTTATTATTTACTGAGTTGCTAAACTTATTTTTTGATGTTTTTGCATAATAGATTTTATTCAGCACCTATAGAATTGTCTTAATCAGAGCAGGCTACTCAGTTTTAGTATCCCAGTTTTGATATTTTTCCTTAGTATTTGTTTTAGTTTTTTTTTTTTGGGTTTGGGTTGTTGGTCCATGTTCTCATATATATTTTGATTCAATTAGTTTTTTTTATTTTCATTCCAGTTGTATCATTGAATCTTTCACTATTAATAAAATTTATATTTTCTTTCTTTTATTTGCATGCAAGTCTTTCTTTGAAAATGCAAAACAAATTCATTTCATTTCATCATGTTCTGCGTTGTTGGAGTTAACCGCCTTCCGGATCCAGGGACACTGACATAATACTCTTTGATAGTTTAGGCTTCTCTTTCATGCATTCATTCATGTGTATTTTTTGCTTAAGTGTCGCCATTGCTAGTCCCTCTTTTGTGTCTATGTTGGTGCCTTTGAGCTTATCCTTCTTAGTTCTCAAAATGTCCAGCTCGGGTTCATTTTGATTGTTATAACCAGACCTACATTGATTTCACTCGCACCTGAATATAAGCATTGGTTCCTTAATTGAGAATATGCTTAATATGCTTGGGATGTAATTATTTTTAGGAGTTTGCTCCTTTTGGAAACCTGTCTCTAGAATTAAAATAAGTTTTTTTTTTAGTCATATTTTTAGTAGTGAAAATATCTACGATAGATACTTTTAATTTGCGCTTCATTGAAATTTCGAGCAAGCAATTAAACCACCCATTTACAATATGTCTATATGGACAAATAATCTCCTTGAAAGAAACTGTCATAAATGACTTAAATGTGTACTATAATGAATTATGATTGTTTAATCTTAAGAGTAGATGGATGAAGGTTTAAATTTCTATTTTTTAAAGTACTCATATCTATGTAATTTTTTTGAAATATTGATGCCATTTGCTCTCATCATAAGATTTATTTTATGAATTCATATGTCACTAAATCATGAACCAAGAGCAAAATCCACATGAGTCTGATCATCCATCAAAGGATTAATATCAATAAGATAATTCATCAAGTGTTAGTTTGTATATTGCTCAATTGATTCATCTACTATCTCATATATGCTAGATTCATATTCACATTCAAATATATGTTCAATCTCCTTTAGAATTTAAGTTTAGATATGATGTCATTCTCTCCCTCTGTTTTTTTTTTCTATTTTTAATCCGAACTCTTGATTATGTATAGAATGTTGTTCGAAGTTGTCAAATATAGGCTCATATTGTACTAGAAAATTAGTTTATACGTTTGAAACATCCTCAAAGAAATATTCATGAATAATAGTCTATATGATGAGATTGCAGTCAATATAACTTGTATTCTTGAGTTTATGTATTTTTCACTAGCTTTAGCTGAGATTTTACTGGGTTTTTCGTAGAAATAAACAAAGTTGCAATACCCCTGATATTATATTCGTAACATGCCTCATATACTTAAAAATCTTGCTAAAACCATAGATAGTTTTTTGGATGAATGGAAGCTTAGTTCATTTATAAACTTTTGCCTAAGAATTTTAGTGAAAGAAGTAATGATAACAAGTCATTGGCAAGTCCACTGTAGCCACAAGATTGTCTATACCGTGCATGATATGTAAACATGGTAATATTTTTTTGTTTACAACTCTGAAGCTAATCATGCAATACATCTCAATATTTACTAAGCGTTATGTATTTATATTTAAGCTTATCTTTCATATTATTCCACATGAAACACTTTGCTAAAACATTTGAGCACCACCATTAATTTTATTTTAACAATATTAACTTTTTCTGAATCAAAGAAATGATGAATCTTCAAAGTAGTCTTTCCAATCATTGATCTACCTTGAAAATTTTTAAGATTCTAACTCTTATCAAATGTAGGAATATGAATTTAAATCTCATGATAGCTATAATGTATTTGTCTAAAACCACATCTTATCTTCTTTTATTGGCGCAAGGCTTGATTTTTCTTTTTGGCATTTTCAATTCTTGACCTTCTTTCATCTACATAATTTTTTTTGGCTTGCTAGCAGTTTTGATTTTGTTAAAATTTTACACAATTAAATTAACATTTGTGAAAATTGCATTACATTTGCAATATTATTAAATGCAATTTAAATTCTTACTTTTTTTTTTTCAAGTATTATACCAATTTTTGTTAACATTCGGGTAAAGTATAGTTTTGACATTTTACATTTAAAGAGTGAATGTGATTGACTTCTATACCGGCACATGATTTGTGAATCTTTATTTTCTTTATCTGAATTTATTCTATATATCATTAATTGTATTAGGAAACTTAACCTCGAATTGTCTTGCATAACCACAATTTGAGCATTAGTTGATTCTTTTGTGTTTTTTTTTTTTTTTTTTGTTTATTATATACTTTCTTTGCTGTATTCATGCTAGAAGGTTATTTTGTTAAAATTCTTTTTAACAGTCCATTGAGTTTCTTAAAAATTATTTTGTGCAAAGTGCTCATCTTAGGTGAAGTTTTTCCGAAGGGTTTGTCTGAAAGACCTCAAACTGAACTTAATCGCATTGATATATATTACATATTACATTTGGGATCAATTTTAATTTTGATTTTTTATATTTTATTCTTGTTTTATTTTGTTTATGTTTTTTACTTAAAATAAAACATATTTGGTATGTTATAGTGTGGTTGGTTAGTTTTTAAAAAGACTAAAAGTAATTTTAGGTGTTTTGAGTACTTTTAATACCAAATTATTTTTAAAAATACACTAAGCAAAAATACTTTTAAAGTAAAAGTAAAAATAAAAATAAAAAACAAAAGTGATCCCAATAAATTTTCCGACGTTGCACTGATATTTGTTATAAATGCAGGCTTGTGACGCAACCGCTAGAATAAATGATGCTCAAAAGTTGACTCAACCAAACTCAGAAAAGCGCAAAGCTATACTCGATTGCTTGCCCACCATGTTCGACACAATCCACTTGATCTGTCAATCTACTGACTGTTCTTTGATCACAAAGCAGCAGCTCGTGCACAAAATAATTTCAAATAATTTGGATATTGAAGAGACGAGTAATATCTATTGTTAATGACCCCTCAAATATAATTATTGGTTAGGTGTGTAATTTCTATTTAATGATGTGATTTTAATTCATTTGGATGGCAGGTGAAGTCGAAGAGCTGTTGGGGTTGTTGGAAGAGTTGGTTCCAGGGTGGATGTGTAAGAAGAGCACTTGTAATGGGGAGTTCCTTTACTGGTAAGTACTTATTAATCTTTCTTTTCGAAATTATTTTTACGATTTCTAGGACAGTTTTTTTTCTTATAATGTGCAAATATAACTGGTTTTTTTTTTCTTTTGGAAAGTTTCAATATGCTCTTTCTCTGGTTGGGTTCACTGAATGCTCTGGTTGGGTTAACTGAATGCTTGACCTGTAGCTGGATGTTCGTGCTTATTTTCTATTCAAATTGTGCCTGGATTTGGAAGTTTTGCACACTTGCTGGAATTGAATATTTGAATTCTTGATGGTGGTATTTGAAACAAATCAATAGAGTAAACCTTTTACAATCGGTGATTTTCGTAGTAATAAGGCAGGAAATATAGTTAGATGCTGCCCTTACAAAACCTCTGGCCCTTCTCTTGTTACATTACTTTTAGCTCATTCCCTTTTTGATCCATTTAGTAGCCTGTTTATTACAATTTAGAGAATATAAGCGCCATATCATTTAAACCCTCATTATTTACATATCTAACTATCTATCCAAAAGTATGAACTAACAAACCCATACATTTACATGTCAGGGCCAAATTGTTGAACAATTAAATGGAAATGAATTAATTTAGGTTGGATTTTTTTTACAGGGTTGTTTGATCGGCTTAAAAAATAGTGCATTGCAATCCTTTTGCGAGGGTTTGCAAATTTAGTAGTTTGGCTAGTGGAATTCCAAATGCAGTGTAAAATTGCAATGTATTTGAGTTCTTTTCTAAGTTTATGTCAATCTATTTGGAATTTGCTTGATTTGGGTGAATTTCGCCACCACCTCCGATCACCAATAGTTTTTTCGCAGATCGCCTCCACCTCTGGTCACAAGCACCATGCCAGCCGATCGCACCACCCCTGGTGGCCCCCAGTTTCTCGCTGGCTGTCTGCCATCATCCGCCGATCGCCACCATTGCCGCCACCTGCCGCCACCTGCCGCTTGCTTTCCTTCAACCACCGCCTGCCCACTTCTGGTCGCCATGTACTCGCTCTTGGCTATCGCCGGCTGCAGTCACCCACCACCTACTTACCTACTCGATAGTTGCCATCCGTTTGCTAACTAACACTACTAGTCGGCCGCCACCTGCCTATCCATTGTTGATCTCATATTGTACATTGTTTTATTATTTCAAATCAAAAGAAAATACGAAGCCCTGCAATTATTTTATACTAAATCAAACAACAATAAATCATTCTTACTGCTTTTCTTCTACACCACATTAACTCTTTGGCAAACGAAACAACCGTCTGACATTTAGACAATATTATTGTGAATGAAAATTGATACGTCACTAACAATTTTTCATCATCCAGCACGAATCTCAAAGCATAACACAAATCTCAAGACGATATTTTAAGCAAGAAACATTTAAATCTTGATAAGAAGTCATCCAGAGGTCTGATTTTAGCAAACTTATAGTCAAACTGATCGACTCGATGAGACGGACCTAATGATATGAAAACTAGTCTAATTTGAGTCAAATCAAGCTCAAATCAAGTCATTAAACCACCCATGAAAGATTTCTGGACACATTTGTAAGGTCAAACAGATGTCAGCACTTACAAGTTTATACTCGAATCGAGCAGCTCGACAAGACGAATCCAACTAGCCCAAGATCACTCAATTCCGACATCGTTAAGGCACTCAAATGTCCATTAAATACGACATGATCAGAGGAAATTCTCTGGACCGTCTGATCAAAATAGTTTATATTCTTGCATTAATTGCACCCATAACACTATAAATAGACCCCCACCCCTCACATGAAAGGGAGTTGAAGTCTAGAGAGAGTCTGAGGCCTTGAGGAGAAGCTGCAGCTCAACACCATCGCCGACCTCCGTTGTCAACCACCGTCGACCACCGCCGATCGTCATCGACCACCGCCGACCTTCGTCGACCTCTGGCAACCATCATCGACTATCACTAACCACCATCGATCACCACCAACTATACGCCGTCAGTCGATGTTGTAATCTAAAAAATATAGTTACTATTTCTCGTCTGTGGGACAATGAATTCCTGTAATCAATAATTAATGGTTTATATTCTATGCGTATGCTAAACTTTCGTACAACGCTAAGACGATAGTCCGTTACTCTACCGCCGCGAATTTTCTAGCACGCATTAGTTTGGCGTCGTCTGTGGGAAACTCTCAATCCACCACTGAAGTGTTTGCTCAATTTCCTGCATGACCGCCAGACAAAATATTCGGGACAACGACTTAACTCGCTCTAACTTCAATCGTTCCAGGGAACAACACGAAGTCAAGGGCGGCATGTTTCTTCATCTTCCCACCCTGGAAGACGTTATCCAACCAACGAGGGGGTTTCGAGTCCTTTTATGGAATAACGAACACGTAGAATGGATGAGTCTCAACTGGAGATCATACAATTCCTATGAGGGATCCAACAACCACTGTCCACACCGATGACTGAAACTCGTTTACCATTAAATTTGCGACCTACGAGAAACATACTACCTGGAGGAACTCGTACCGTCCCCCTTGCTCAAGAGGGAACAATTCCTTTGTCAGGACGTGATACTGAACTCCTAGACACCGCAAGTTCCACTCATCCATCTCATGCAGCTCCCCTGGCACCACCACGTCTTGCTACCGTTCCAGATGATATCATCCGTAACAAACTACGTCATCTCGTCTCGTCTGAGAGGAGTTCCCCCTAGAGAAAAAAGATTGCTTCCACACTCACCCTAACTTTCTTGAATCCTCTCACTTAGTGAATGAGGTCCTCCAACACTCTATCCCAAGAGGCTTCAAGCCGCCGAACATTGACGCATATGAAGGGATAACTGACCCATATGAACATATTGATCATTATCAAACTATCATGCAAATTCAACGTGCCTCTGACACGCTTCTATGTCATGTGTTCCCAACCATTCTTAAGGGACAAGCTCGAACTTGGTTCTACTCTCTGCCGGGGGGCACTGTAAACACCTTCAAGCTTGCCAACTATTTGTAGAGTAGCTCATAGCAAGTCGACGAATCATCAAGGATTCATCTCATCTCTCAGGATTTCGTCAAAGTGAAAGAGAGGCGCTTAAAGACTACTTCCGCAGATTTTCTACTGAAGCCCGTCAAATTCCAGGAGTAGATCCAGAGTTACTTAGGAGGGTTTTCCTTGGGGGTCTCCGTTCAGGACCCTTCTACTCATTACTGATGCGGGAGAGTGTTCGTTATTATGCTAATCTTGTCCACTGTGTTGAGACCCAAATCACTGCAGACGAGGTTATCAGTGCACATAAGGAACAATTTCAGAAATTTGGGGGAAAGCGCAAAGGTAACTCCAAAGACAATAAACAGAGAAAGTCTGAACAACCGAAGAATCGTGACCTCCTCCTTCAACCTGCGAGTCAACGAACTGAATATCGACCCAAGAAAGAGTATATACCACTCAACACGTCACGTGCTAAAATCTTGGTGGCCATCAAGGATGAGCAAGTCGTTAAGTGGCCTCACCCCTTAAAACCTAACTCGAGAAATTAAGAATAATACTGTCATTTTCATCGAATTCGTGGCCACATCACCGAGACATGTAAGCTCTTTAGGGAAGAGATTGAAATGTTGATTCAGCAGAGATATTTTGGTCGATTTATATAAAACAAACTAGCTGATAGCGATAATGCTTCTACTGAGGGACAACAAACACAAAGACAACAACATGGGTGTCACCCAGCCGTGGGCAAAATTAAAACGATTGCAGGAGGGCCATTGCTAACTGATCAAGTTCTTATCACTGCACTTGGTAAACCAGCACATAAGAAATTGCACCTTGAACCTATCACTTTTGATGATTCTGTTTCAGAAGGAGTCCGAGTACCTCAATAAGATCCTCTTGTCATTAGTGCAGGAATTGGCGAACCCTGCTACAATGTAAAAAGGATCTTGATCGACAATGAGAGCTCTATTGATGTTTTGTTCTACTCCACTTTCCTTAGTTTGAGACTGACAAGAGAAAAAGTTCAACCTGCATCTGGGCCATTGCATGGTTTTGATAATAGACCAGTACGGGTCGAGAGAACAATAAATCTCCCTGTTGTCATAGGAGATTTTCCTCGACAGATATTTTTCTCGACAGATAACTCACTCAGTCCAGTTCATTGTTGTTAAGTTAGAATCAACATACAATACCATCTTCGAGAGACATCTGCAATCCATCTTTGGCATTGTAACATCTGTGCTACACTGGAAGCTCAAATTTTCAACCCCAGCAGGGATCAACGTCGTACGAGGAGATCAACAGATAACACAATCATGCTACCTCAGGCAGCTCAGTCACGCCCATTATTGACACTTAGCATTGAAAACTTTGATCTCCGAGATGAAGATATATCTCAAAGAGCTTCCCTCGTGGAAGATTTGGTTCATGTTCCGCTCTCTAATGACACCCATCGAGAACAGTGCAGCTTGGTTCCTTACTCTCCGATGAACAAAGGTCAGAATATGTAGATCTCCTCCAAGGAAACCAAAATATTTTTGCATGCACCCCAACCGACATGCCTGGGGTTGATCCTGAAATAATCATGCACTCTTTAAAGATAGATCCAACCTTTAAACCAATTGTTCAGAAAAACTGCAATTTTCCCCAGATCACTTATAAGCTATTGGACAAGAAATCAACAAGCTTTTCGAAGCAAAGTTCATACAGGAAGTACACTATCTTGCTTGGTTGGCTAATGTCGTCATGGTGAAAAAAACTAGTGATCCGTGGAGAATGTGTGTCAACTATACAGACCTCAATAAAACATGTTCGAATGATAGCTTTTCCCTCCCTCCCACGCATAGATCCACGCATAGATCAACTTGTTGATGCCACTTCCGGACATCAGATGCTCAACTTTATGGATGCGTACTCAGGGTATAATCAAATAAAGACGAACCCAATAAACGAGGAAGCCATCTCTTTTCAAACAGATAAGGACTTATACTGTTATCAGGTTATGCCGTTCGGATTAAAAAATATTGGTGCAACTTATCAACGTCTCATGAACAAAGTTTTCAAAAATCTTCTCGGGCGTACAATGAAGGCTTACGGTAATGACATGTTAGTAAAAAGCTTGGAAGCATCCCAACACACTTCTCATTTGGAGAAGTGTTTCCAACTCCTTCGTCAATACGATTTACGACTTAACCCAACTAAATGTGCTTTCAGAGTAACATCAGGAAATTTTTTGGGATTTATAGTTACCTATCGCGGAATTAAAGCAAACCCATAAAAAATCAAGGCGCTGAGGAACTTGATGCTTCCAAAAAATATCATGGAGGTTCAACGATTGAATGGTCGTATAGCCGCTTTATCCCGCTTCTTAGCTCCTTCTGGGGATAAGTATCTGTCGTTGTTCAAGATACTTAGAGGTGCTCGAAACTCCAATTTTCAGTGGACGGATGATTGTCAGATTGCTTTCGAGCAACTCAAGGCATATTTGGCTTGGCCGCCCCTCCTCTCAATGCCCATCCAAGGAGAGATATTATATATCTTTTTGGCAATTTTACTTCATGCAATAAACTCTGTTCTTGTCAGAATAGAAAACTAAGTCGAGAAACCAGTATATTACGTTAGCAAGATTCTCTTTGATACCGAAAGTCGTTATTAAATGGCGAATAAGATTGTGCTTGCCCTGACATTCTTAACAAGGAGACTTCATCCGTACTTCTAGGCTTACACTATCAGCGTTTACACACAACTCCCTTTGAAGGCTATCCTACAAAAACCAGAATCATCAAGAAGATTAGTTAAGTGGTCAGTAGAATTGCGAGAATTTAATATTCATTATTTATCAAGTTCAAACATCAAATCACAGTTGTTGGTCGATTTTGTGGTAGAATGTACAATGCCTACCTCTGATAAACCACCATCTTCTCTTTCATGGTCACCGCCGTGGACATTATACGTAGACGGAGCATCCGGAAACTCAGGAACTGGTGCAGGGATACTACTCATCTCCCCAAAGAAAGACATTTTGGAGTACGGACTTCGTTTGAAATTCCAAGCCACCAATAATGTCGTCGAATATGGAACACTTGTTGCTGAATTAAAACTTGTCATCAACTGTGAAGTACAAAATATAATTATCTACACTGATTCTCAACTCATCACATCCCAAGTAGAAGGAGAATTCAACGCTTATAACCACAATTAGTGCAGTATCTCAGTCTAGTAAAAATACTTCTCGCTCAAATTGAAATATGTCAGCTCATTTACATACTTCGGGAGCATAACACTCGAGTCGATGCCCTCTCCAAGCTTGCAACATCAACAACCGGAGATCTCTATAAAAGAAGGTATATTAATTAGATACATTTTCTTAGCATCCATGACCCATGGGTGATACTATCTATAGATGACCCAAGGGAGTCATCTTGGATGGATCATCTCCTTCCTCCAAGATGGGGACACTGCTAGATGATGGTACTACATCAATTCGCATCCGACGCATGGCTGACAACTTCATCCTTAAAAAGACATTTGTAGGTCCAAATCTCAAGTGTCTTCATATGAAGCTGATTATGCTCTACGAGAAGTTCATTTCTGAATATGTGGGAAGCATTTTGGTGGCAGGACGCTTGCTTTTAAAATAATGAGACAATGCTTCTGCTAGCCTACGATTAAACAAGATACATTAGAGTTTGTGCAAAAATGCAAGAATTGCCAACTGCACTCCAATCTTACGCATGCACCGTCAGTAGAACTCACATCTTTTCTGAGTCCTTTGACCTTTCGCCCAATAGAGGGTAGATTTCATGGGGCATTTTTCGATAGCTACTACGCAACGAAAGTTAATCATCTTAGCTGTCGACTACTTCACTAAATGGGTAGAAGCAGAGCCTCTTGCCAAGATCACTGAGGCCAATGCCAAACAGTTTGTATGGAAAAACATCATCTGTCGCTTTGTTCTTCCCGCAAATATTATCATTGATAATGAGACTAAATTCACTGGAAGAGTCTTCACATCATTTTGTAAGGATCTTCACATTCAGTTGGGGCACACTGCTGTGGCGCATCTCCAAACGAATGGACAAACAGAGAAGACAAATCGAACGATTCTCAAAGGGTTGAAGACTCGACTTGAGAAGGTTGAGGGGCAGTGGGTAGAAGAGTTGCATAACGTCCTTTGGGCCTGTCGTACCACCGCACGAACTCCTACTGGGGAAACTCCATATAACTTGTGTTTTGACACCGAGACTGTCATCCCCGTTGATATCAGAGTTCCAAACCCCCAAGTCAAGATTTTATACTCGGATAACAATAAAGAAAAACTCCGACAATAGTTGGATCTTCTCCCAAAAATATGCGATGTGGCCCACCCCAGTGCTGCTTTCTACCGCCAATGAATTGCTCGCCACTTCAACCGAAGAGTAAAACCTCATCCTATCTCCATTAGTGATTTGGTTTTGTATAGTATCGAAGCCGCTAGTCATGGTCCCTAACACAACAAATTATCCTCTTTCTGGTAAGGCCCATACATCGTAGCCATAATCAAGCCTGAAACCTTCAAGCTCAAAGACTCGGAAAAATCCTGCCCCAGACTTGGAATGTCGAGAATCTTTGGAAATACTACCAGTAACACTTCAGTCATATTATCTATGTCATATTGCATATAATGTCAATGTATTTCAAATTTATTTTATTGCTACAAAAAAATATATATCTTTGGAAAGTGTAACGACTCAATCACGAGTCACTTTATGCTCTCGGCCCGAGAAATACACAACTCTGGTTGTATCTTAGTTAGAGCACGATCGATCCCAGGGGGATTTGATCTAACCTCTTGGGTTAGCATCGTTGAATTTTTACTCCAATAAACAATCATGAATATGTTAACAGTCCTTGGTGGACTACACCTGATCCTTTCCACACAGGTTCATAAGCGAGCAATGCTCCAGCAAACAACCTTGGATGGGTGAATAAGTCCTCGGGGGACTTTCTTCGGCTCCTCCATACATGTTAAACATCACTGAGTAATACTCTGATGCATAATCTCAACCAAGTAAAAGGTCGCTGGAAATTTATCCCCACGGTAACCTTCTTATATGACATTGGACATCCAACGCGTTGTCATGTCGCAACACGTCGCCACAACGCACTGCCACAACGCGTTGTCGCGCTGTAGCACATCGTTGCAATGCACCGTCACAACGCGAGGCATTGTCGCAACACGTCGCTGCACCGCAACACACTGCTGCAAAGCTACAACACGTCGCCGCGACGCACCGTCACAACGCATTGTCACGACACAATGCGTCATCGCGACGCACTGCCGCAACACACCCCCGCAACGGGTCGCGCCGCTTAGCCGCTGCACCGCGTTGCCGCAAAGTTGCCACGACGCACTGCAACACCTCTATTCTCTCCTTCAGGCCCCTATTTATAAGCTCCAAAATGGATTTAGCCATTAAATTGTCCTTATTATAAACTTCAAAAAGAGTGAAAAATTAAATATTTGTTATAAATATACTTCAAAAAGAAGTGAAAAATTAAATATTTGTTATGAAGTAGGCTAAAAAAAAATGCAAACATTAAATATCATAAAAAAAAATAATTATATATATATATATATATATCTTCTTATATCGATAATAATAAAATAATATATATTAATACGTATGCATGAAATAAATGCTCTAGATCTTGTTATTTTCGGACGATAAAAATGGCTTCCCCCGAAAATTGGGAGGCAACTGATACGTTACCAACAAATTTTCATCATCCAACACGAATCTCGAAGCATAACACAAATCTCAAGACGATATTTTAAGCAAGAAACATTTAAATCTTCATGAAAATTTATCCAGAGCTCCGATTTCAGCAAACGTATAGTCAAACTGACCGATAGTCAAACTGACCGGATCTCAAACTGACCGGATCGATAAGACGGACCTAATGATATGAAAACTAGTCCAATTCAAGTCAAATCAAGCTCAAATCAAGTTATTAAACTACCCTCGGAAGATTTCTGGACATATTTGGAATGTCAAACAAATGTCGACACTGACAAGTTTATACTCGAATCGAGCGACTCGACAAGACGAATCCAACGAGCCCAATCACTAAACTCAGACATCGTTAATGCACTTAAATGACCTTTAAACATGGCATGATCAGAGGAAATTCTCTGGACCGTCCGATCAAAATGGTTGATATTCCTGCATTAATTGCACCTGAAACACTATAAATAGACCCCCACCCCTCACATGAAAGGGAGCTGAAGTCTAGAGAGAGAGTCTGAGGCCTTGAAGAGAAGCTGTAGCTCAGCACTACCGCTGACCTCCATCGTCCACCACCGCCGACCGCCATCGTCCACCACCGCCGACCGCCGTCGACCACTGTCGGCCTCCGTCGACCACTGCTGAACACCACCAACCGTCATCGACCTCTGAAAACCGTAATCGACTACCACTAACCACCATCGATCACCACCAGCCAGACGCCGTCAGTTGACTTTGTAATCTAAAAAATATAGTTATCATTTCCCGTCTGTGGAACAATGAATTTATGTAATCAACAGTCAATAGTAGATTGCCGCAACTGCGCTAGACCCCATGGTTTTTCCCTTACGAGTTTTCCACGTAAAAACTTCTGGAGTCTTCACCGCTTGTTTCTTTTTCATCTGTGCGTGTGCTAACTTTTCGTACAACGCTAAGACGATATTTCGTTACTCTATCCCCTCAAATTTTCTAGCACGCATAAAAAATAGTTGGGCATTAGTTTTATAAATATAAGAGCCCCTATAATTTATTGCTTGTTGGTAGCACTCTATTCTGCAAAACCTTTGCTTTGTTCAGCAATTATTTTTATTTGAACTCATCTCTTCTTATTTAGACGGAACTTATTTTCTCTGAAGACCTCCTAAGTTGTCTGTTAAATTATTTGCAGTATCAAACGTTTACCTGATCCAGATTCTGTTCGTACCAGACTTTCAGAAGCTGTGTGAAAAAAAATATATATACAGAACTATGCGGGTAATTCGTTTCATTCCTGTTTCTATTTGGTCAAGAAAATCTAGAAGAGACTTCACTGCTCGGCATACAAATTTTCTTAGTTCATGTCTGCCGCTGCATATTGCAAGCATATTTTTCTTTCAAAAGACTTGGGATTTATTTGATTTGCCTTCGAGTCATTTGACAAACTAAACTTTAGTTCCAAAGAATGGAATATTTACAATTTACCCCCTCTAAACATTGAATTATTTTATGGTGAAGCTGCTTCTGCTTGCCTTGATTTGATGACATTATAATCAAGGGTGGTGCAGCGACCAAGTTGCCTCTATTGTGACTTTGAAGTACCAGTTTAGAGCCACAGAAATATTATCGCTGTAATGCAAGAGCAGGACTACGTACATGAACTCATAAATCATTTTTGTGACATGATTAAACGAAAGGTATTTTCAGCTTCTCATAATTTTTCTCCATTGTAAGCACTGATTGCTGCAAATAATTCTTTATAATTGGCAGTCATAAAGGGGCACTATAATTCGGGCATTATTCAGTTATCTGTTATTGTATAGTGGGAAACAAACAAATCACATAGCACAGTTTTTAAAAAAAAAAAAAAATGATAATTTATTTTAAAAAAGGGGGTTTTATGTAATTTCTTTTAAAAATATTCCTTCACATGAAACACGAGGTTTATGATGTAATGTTGGTTTATAAATTTTAGAATTAAATTAAAATATATTCGCGGAACGGTTTCGAGAAACAAATTATTATTACTCTTTTTTTATATATGATAACGATTAGGGGTGTAACTCGTGTTCGGCTCGTTTATATTTTGAGCTCAAAAAATGTATTCGTGTTCGACTTGTTTGCTTAACGAGCTGAACACGAGCTATTGACAAACAAAGAGTCATTTTAACAACTTTAATCATGTAGCCATAAGACATAAGACAATAAGGGTTTGAGCAAGATTTAAAAATTATTATTTATATTAAAATATCATTTGAATTTGATTTAATAATTTTTATTCTATTTTCTTACTCAATATTTTAATTTATTATAAATCTTTGTAGCCTTGTAGTCAATTAGATTTTTTTTAAAATACTATTTAATATGTATATACTTGATGAGTAGTATTTCGAGCCAAAACGAGCCGAATAAGATTGAGCACATCTTAGTTCGTGTTCGGCTCGTTAACTTATCGAGCAAAATTAATGAGCCAAACACGAGCTGTTCGTGAACAACGAGCCGTTTTGACAGCCCTAATAATGATATAATTTAATTTTAAAATAGTTATTTTAATACATGTCTTTATTTAATATTTGCCCTTCGACTATTTTATTTATGTCATCAAATGTACACATTAATAAAAATTTAAAATTTATTTGTTCAATATTTTAATCATTTTAATTCTTTTTTAATTATTATGGCTAATGCTGAGGCATTGGCGTTTGTGTGATAGCGCTTAACTGTGGTTATGAATCTTCCTTAAAACATGTATACGTATAAGTGAAATGATGGACATGCAGTTCTCGAAGTAAGATTTAGATCTATCGCAATTCTCATCCGATTCAAATCGATTTTTTACATTTTAATCAACTCATTTACTTGAATTAAAAAAATAGGAAAATTTAAATATATAAACCACACAATTCTTATATATATATATTTACATGTCTAATACCTAAAGTTTTATATTTACACATAATATCTTGGTATCATATGTATTTCACATTTAAGAAGATAATTGATAATGATATTTTTGATGTGATGCTAAATATTTGTGTGGTATGCATATAAATGTAAATGTTCAAGTGGTTGATATGTCAATACATGAGAATTGTGTGGTATATGTATATTAGATATGTGTCTACACATTCTCGAGGAAATTTAGCGAACAAAGAGTACAATGGAGTACAGTTAGGAAGGGCCCACAGGTAGAAGATCAAAGCCACCAGATGGAAAACCTAGGGCCTACACATAGAAGATGGAAAGTCGTCATCATAAGATTAGGGGTCTAGCATCAAAAGACTAAATGTTCATTAGCGGAATACCAGAAGACCTGTATGACCAGATGGAACCAACCTTAAATCATGGTTGAAGACCGACTTGAGGTGCATTGGGGGCGTTTGCTGCTTTTTGAAGAAGCTGTTGTAAAGTTGCTTCCTGAAGAAACAGCTTTTCAGGAGCTGTCAGAAAGCTGGTGATGAAGAAGCAACTGACAGAAAGCTGGTGATGAAGAAGCAACTGACAGAAAGTAACCTTTTAGCTGGTGATAAAGACTTACATTCTTCTACAGTGACTTTTATAATTTATCTATCATGCAAATCTTAAATGTGCAGCAAAACATATGCAATTCTATTTATAAATATCTCATTAGAAGAAAACTAAAAAAAACAGTACTCAACATTCTCCCCCCAAAATATTACTCCACACTGATGGTGAGGCAAAAGAAAACAATTCGACCTGCAAAATTTGTCAGACAAACTAAAAACTAGTGCTCATATATTCATCTAAAGAAAATAAACCAACAAAAAACTGAAATAAACAACATTGCTCATATATGTTCCATCTCATTTCTTCTAATGATTGATCAAAATAAGTAAGGATGCTGCTAATTTATCTATTATACAAACTACAAATATACACAAAAAAGCATATGCAATTCTATCTGTAAAATTCATTACAGAAGAAAACTTTTAAAAAAAATAGTGCTCATATATGTTCCATCTCATTTCTTCTAATGATTGATCAAAATAAGTAAGGATGTTGCTAATTTATCTATTATACAAACTTCAAATATACACAACAAAGCATATGCAATTCTATTTGTAAAATTCATTACAGAAGAAAACTTAAAAAAAAAATAGTGCTCATATATGTTCCATCTCATTTCTTCTAATGATTGATCAAAATAAGTAAGGATACTACTAATTTATCTATTAGACAAACTTCAAATATACACAACAAAGCATATGCAATTCTATTTGTAAAATTCATTACAGAAGAAAACTTTTTAAAAAATTGTGCTCAACATTCTCTCACCACCCCACCCCCTGCCCCCACAAAATGTTACTTCGCACTCAGGATATTTAAAATAGTAAATCTTTAAAAAACAAATGAATAAAGCTCATTTATACTTCATTCTATAGCTTCTATTAGTAGATTAAGATTGGTATAGATGTTTTAAGCTTAGCTATCATACAAACTTATAACTTTGTATGAAACATATGCAATTCCATCTATTAAATTCTTGCATATACTAAAAAAAGGATTTATTAAAGAAACAGATGAATAAAGCTCAAATATATCTAATTCCATGTCTTCTAATTGTTCATAAGGATAGTAATAGATACTGCTAAATTTTCTATCATGCAAGTTTCAAATTTGCCCCCAAATGTTAATCAAACTTGTATACGATGCAAGTACAAGCAAATCAACTTACAAACATGGGTGCAAGCATATGTAGAACATGGCCACAAAGAATTCTTAAATAAACAGATATATAATGCTCATATATTTTTCATTCCATAGTTTCTACTACTTAATCAGGATTAGTATAGATGATGCTAACTATTCTATCTTGCAAACTTCTACTTTGCATCAAATCATATGCAATACCAGAAAAAAAAGACAAGTTGGTGCTCAAAAATCTCCCCAAAAATTGCTCACTACACATATGCATGGGAAAGAGCAAGCTATATAACAGTCAAATTTCAATGGATACATATGCTGATCAAGAACACAAAAAAATTTCACATAAGAAACAAGAAACACAGAGGTGCGCAGCGAAAAAATCGCAAAAATAAAAAAAAATGCATAAAGGAGAAAACTTCATCGGAAGGTTGTTGCAAATCGACAAAGACAAACAGAGGGGGGTTAGCAGAACCAGGTTTCAGCCTTAAGGATACAGCTGGCAAAGGAGAACAGTGGTGATGGTATATGCGAGGATAAGGAGTGGGATTACCAAAAATTCGAAGGGGCAACGACGTTAGTGGCACCTTGCAATGGAGCTTAAGTAGTGGAACATGCTGTCCCCCTTCCGTTTCGACGTTTGACCTGATGTGGCCTTCGACCAGCAAAACATGCAAAATAAATGGGTTCCCAAACGAGACTTTTATGATTCCATATGATCCCAAACGGGCCCTTAGTGAATTCCATTCAAACCAAGGACTAAGGCCTATCGAGCCAAGCGGAGACATCGATGTGCCTCTTGCCATAACCCGATTCGAGGGAAGAATATAACAGTTATCTCACAACTACATGTAGCATCCCTGAAGGATCGCCTTGTCGGTGAGTAAGTTACATGTTGAATTATGGTGATTCACCCTCTGCTCGATAGTCTAGCATTGCTCTGTCGACAAAAGTTCCTTACATGGAGATCAACAAGTGGCAATCAGACTAGCATAGCCCACCGATAAAGGCAAACCTATCGAGTTGAGTCTAGCGGACCCGAAGACCATCAAAGACCAACCAACAACCTCGATTAAGTGAAGGCCAAGGAGCAGGCCTTGCTGAACCAGGACGGATTAACTCCAGCCAACCGAGTTGATATGTGGTCAAATCAAAGGTCTATATATGTGGAAAGAGGAACCCCTAGGACTTTAATCTATTTTTTTTTGTTTTTAGATGGGAATCGTCTTTCCCTCCCTCCTTTTGAACTTTTTTTTATATTAACATGTTGGGAGTTACGTGTTGCTCTTTTTATAAAAAAATTAAACTATCTCGTAACACCCTCAATAAATAAAGAGCAAATATGTAACTTCATATATTGTACACTTCTCTTTTATAAACAGAGTGATCATTTTCTTGGAAATGATGCGCTAATCAACAATTCAAAATACCATTCTTTACTATGCACTTCCCATTGTCTCTCTCATTCTCTCATGTCTTACGTTCTATTCTTTGGGGGTGATTTATAGACAAACTAGGATCCAACAGTATGATTGTAAATGTCCCAAAGCAAATATCCAATTTTCTAATAAAAATAACAGCCATAGCGATCTTTTTCAAAAATTAATTCCATAATATCCAACTACTCACGTTTATATCGTGCCGGGCAAACTGAAGTCTCTCACTCCTTCACCCTCTCTTCTCGTATTATATAGATTAAAAATATGGAATACCTGCAGAGACTTCAATCATGGCATGAGATGCCAATTCGTGAAGTTGAAACAAGGGCCATCTTCTCAGTTGCCAGAATCATCAAACGGCTCTTCTTCTTCTTCACCACCTCTCTGATAAAATAATTCATCTAAAATAATGTCTCCCAATGCATTATTAACGCAGAATTAATAATACGCATTGGATTATCTTTACTTTCTCCGTATATGTTTTTCTTCAGAATCAGCAAGCAGAGATTTTGAAGTTCTTATAGGTGGCCTCTCATGGTGGTTTCACAGGCTGCAACTTTCTTTCATGGAACTCTGTTTTCTACAGTTTGGTCAAGAAGGGTGGCACCAAGCGGGACGATGAAGCCGCCTTTTTTTGCCCTGCATTTTCCAACACAGAGTAATCGATTGCAGAAAGCTTCAAAGATTTTTTGCAAGGTTTTCAGTCTTCTTCCATTGTTAGCCAAAGGAAAATATTAGTTTGTTTCTTATAACTGTTTAGAAGGTGCAAAGCTTTTAGTAAATGCATATTGAAATTTGCGAGTATACATTTCCATTAAATTGTCTTTTTTTTTTTTTTCTGATTATATACTTATTTACTTGCTGCAGATTAATTGTTGCAATCTTCTAGTTTTCAGTACCAAGTATGGATGTCCCTATATTCTGGAGGATGACTGTGATGATGATGATGATGACGATGATGATGATTGTGAAGAAGAAGATGATGATGATGACGAATGTGAGTGTGAAGATGATGATGATGAGGAGGAGGAAGACTGTGAAGATGATGACGATGATGACGATGATGATTGTGAAGAAGAGGATGAGGATGATGATGATGATGATGATTGTGAAGAGGACGATGATGATGATGACGATGATGATGATGAATGTGAATGTGATGGCTTATCTGATGAGAGAAGCTAGTTCTAATTTCCATTTTTTGTGATTTTCTATTTCTTTTATATTTATTTTAAGTGTATTAGGTGACTAATTCTCCTTGGAATTAGACTAACCAGGCTGAAAACTAATCTACTCTGATGGCTATCATAGGATATGTTGTGGAATCGAAACAGCTGAACTCTAAAGCTTTCTTTGTTAGCAACTTCAGTTTCCTTTGAACTATTATTGTTTCTTATGTAGAAAAGAAAAAGGTGAAAACATATTTTTTAAAAAAGAAAAAAAATAGGTTCTAATATGCTTAATTGAAAAAATATATTTATCAAACCAGTTTCCATTTGAAGCATTTTTGTGATCTTTGTTGTGACAAAATCAAAAGCCCTAAATATTTTATAGTTGTAAGGTTTTTAGGAGTATCGTGTCCTCCCAAAAGAAAAATACAACATATTATTTTCGATATTTGTCAGGTAACAAAAATAAAATTTTAAATAGAATTTTGTATTTCTATGACATTTTGTTCATCATAGACTCTACAAAAGCTTCTCATTATTTTCAATATTTAATATAAAAATCATAATAACTCGTGCTTGAATGATCTTAACACAACGAGATTCAGAAAAAAATAAAGAACCTTCAAACTTTCACTCATTCATCACTAATCTATTTCTTTTTCAATATTTGTGTGTCAATCCATTATACTTACATGAACTCACATACCCACACACACACATAAAAATGTATGTATCTACATATATACATACATATATAAAGGTGATATATATATATATATATATATATATATAGTGGAAGATTGAAATGCATACTACTCAAATCTCATGAATTTATATTATATATGTCTGTGTGTGTGTGTGTCTGGGTGTCGTCAGTCGTGATCTGTTGGTAGAGCAGCTTCTTTGAAGGTCGTAAGTCTCCCTCAAGTCACGAGTTTGAATCCTCCTCTAACCAATTTGTCAATAATGAGGGTTGTCCTCGAATAGTTAGGCACATGAGATTGGTTGGGGCTCGTATGATAGCCTCAGGTCATTATGTATATATTATATATATATATATAATTCCACGGAATATGAATTCCATGGAATATAATAGAAACTTTCACTTTTCAAATCATAAAAAGAATAGCACAACTCTAAATAGAGAATTATGAAAATTTCTCATTTTATTTCGATTAACTCTTTTTATATTTTTTACAATCAAAATATATTTATAATTCATTTCATTAAAAATAATATATATATTTTTTTTAAATCTAACACTCAGAATTTTATCATTTATGCTTAAACATAAGAATGGTTTAGATCACTCTTTAAAATTTAAATATCAGAATTATAAGTTTGTAGAATCTCACCCACTTTTTAACCTTACCATAACTTTAATCACTAAATGTTTAACTCGTCCTTCTGCCTATCAATAACACCTGGGTTTTATTTTTAAATGGCATTTTCTCTTGTGCCAAGATATTCATTATTTGAGCAATGAATCATTCTTATTAGAAAAATCAATAAATTATCATTAAAAATTTGTATATCAAGATTTAGTAAGGTAGATTAAGCTCCACCAATACAATGAAATTCAACTTTGTCATTCATTCTATCATGAATGAATTGTTGGTGGCCTAACAATAGCAATGTAAGGTTTTTGTATTCCCACTTTGGGGGCTGGGAGAAATTATGATAGGTGCTTTGACATGAAGGAAACAAGCAATTCTTTAGGGAAATAGATCTAATAGAAACTCATGGGATAATTTGGCTTCTAAGAGAGAAACAATATCAACCTTACAAGCATATACACAATGTATAAACAAGGAATTCATCCATTTTCTTGAAAATCTCTTAAATAGATGGTTATTCAACAATTTCAATCATGTATAGTTTAGCCATTAACCATAAATATGCTTGTACTTTTGTTTGGATGATCATGTATGTACACTATGATGTATGTCGCCTAGCTGTAGAAAGGGTTCAGCTGTCAAACGTAGTGTATACATGTTCAATTGTGAGTGGTTTGATCCCGTTTCTAATCGAGGAACTCGGACACTCGACTCGTATGATATTACCAAAATTAAGATGAACAAAAGATATGTAAAATATGACCCATTTATTCTGGCATGTTGGGTCAGTTAGGTATATTGTCTTCGATATCCTGGCCGAATAAGGGATAAACTTGATTAGGATGTCGTATTGAAGAATAGATCACAAAAAATTGTTGAGATACAAAATGTTATCGAGCATATTCACCAAGAATTAGTTATGTCTGATTTTCATATTCATCTTAGCTCAATCAATGAGGAGTTTCCCCTGGAGGATACCAAAGGGATTCATGAAGAAGTTCCTCTACATATGGATGAAAATGATGATGAAATTGAAGAAGAAATTTTAAGTTCTTCAACATCTGAATCATCAAATGAAATGGACTAAAAAATGGTACGTATACTTAGATGATTAGTTTCTGCACCTTTTTTCTTTTACTCTTGCATTGTAGTTTTCTTGCTTAATTTTCTTGATTTTATACTTAGTCATGAGATCTTTCACTTTTTTGCTTTTACTTTTATGTCTTATATTACATACTAATTCTGCTTATTAATTATAATTTTTTTCCTGTTATAGATGGCAAGTTCTCAGCTTCTTGAGAAACCTTGCGTTCAGGGGACTTTGACGAACACGTATCGAAGGTTGAAGAAGGTTGTCTATGGCGTTGACATGTACAACACTCGTGCAGCTAATTTGATGGCCCCTTCTCTTGCCCCTCCTCCCCCACCAAGTCCCTCGCAATAACCACCTCCCACTCCACCTTATTTCCACCGAGCATCCTCATATGACAAGCCAGGCCCCTCAACTCCAGCACCTGAGATAGCTGACACCGCCAACAGAGTCTATATTGAGCCATAAGGTGACTTATACATCAACATTCTTTTTTGCAGTATAGTAATTTTCATTTTTCATTTCATTTTATAATGTATCTAATGTTTCATTTGCAGGTTCTACTCCTCCAGGTCACCCGTGATGCAGATCATGGAGATTATTTAGAGCAGGTATGATCAGTCATATCTCTCATGGAAGCAGATACCGATGGTTACACGGGATATGTATTTTGGGGAGTTTGATGTATGATATTTAAATTTGAATTATAAGATTAATTTCTACCCTTTTTGAATCTAATAATGAAGCTTACATACATTATAATATGATGATGTCATTTTATTTGTTGGCAGAACATCACCAACAGATCCGGCAGATATAAGGTTCGTGTCAGGTATAGGCTCAGAGGTATGTTCATGACAGAGAGTTAGAAGGGGCAGTGTATCTCGTGGGATGGGGAAGAAGTCTAAGCTAAGTTAAATCAAGCATGAGCCTCTTTGGAGTGCCGGAGGAAGAGAAAAACAAATCAATAGAACTGAACGACAAAGGAAGCTATAGGGGCCGCACTCCATATTGGAGATTTGATCCCCCACACAGCACTATCGGAGGCTGGTAAGATTATGTCAAAATTCAAAAACTTACATAATAATGTAATTATTTGACTCAATTATTTATCTGATCATGTACACATGCCAAGGAGCTTAACAGAGAGTCATCCTCCGCAGAGTTGCCACACATCAGAGTGCGGTCAAACAATAGTAGGTATCTGACCACTCTCGGCGTGTCAATGTAAGTTTTAAAAAATTAATTTCATTAATATGTCAATTAAAATTTAAAATGCTTTGAATTTTGTTATGAATGAGGAGTAAGAGTAGCTCTGGGGGATACAAAAGTAAATGGCTAGCCAGGTGTCACCGTCTGCTAGCAGTGGTAGTTAGTCTACCACTACTCAGTCCAATTTTGAGTTTTAAACACAGACAAAGGTGAAGAAGAAGGGGAGAGTGTACAACCTTAGAGCAAAGAGAGTGGCGTTTGAGGCCAAGCGTTCCCTTGCAGTAGTGGGTGCCCCTAGCTCGTCATAGGCTCGACATTAGGAGCTTGTTAGGTGAGTGATGATGATAATTGAATATCTCCGACAAGTGTGTGAAGGCCAGCAACTCGTTGCAGAAAGTCTAGCATGCATGATGTAGAGTTTTGATCATTGAAGCAATCAACATATTTGTCCAATCGAGGAGGATGAGCGGGAGGAGCATGATGATGATGAGGAGAAAGATTATATTTTTTTTCTCTATTTGATGATGTTCCCACGACATAGGGGCTAACTTTATGATTTTTTCCTTTTATACATTGTGCAAACTTTCAGTTTTTGGTGTTATGAATTTTGAACACTTTAATTTGTCTATAATTAATCTAATTTGATATCATTTTAGATAGGTTGCACATTTCTTTTATGAATTACGATGATAAATAAATATTCTATTTTATAGATTATGTTTGTTATGTCCAGCTATGTGGAAATCTAATTGTTTTATTATTTTTTTCTAGCAAGTTCGCGTCGGATTAGCGTCGAAATATTCCGACACAAAAGCCAACAATCAGCATTCGATACATGCAGCCGCTAAATCGACGCAATAGCGTCCAAACAGTTCAAAGCTAATTAACGCCGGACATGGCGGGCGCTAATCATTGTTGACCATGTTTGACGCTAATTAGTGTTTGACATATATGACATTATTGCGCCATCAAACCAGTGTCGTCCTTTTGTTCGACGGAATTTTTTATTGGCAAATATTTTTTACAGTAATTCGGACACAAATTAAGATCCTTTGCTAATGTCGACGTAAAATCAATTACTGACGTTCGTTTTAACGTCAAAAAAAAGAAAAAAGAACCGCGCTAATTTATCATAACATCAGAAATGACAAATGCTAATCGTCATTTTCCTATCTGAAAAACCACCTTTCAAAAAATCAGTGAAACCTTTCCAAAAAAATGCAGACTTCATTTTCCAAAGATAACACTAAACAAGTACTATATTGATGCATGTTATAAACCTACCAATTTTCATTCATGCCAGTATTGCGCATCTTCTCCATCTTTATGACTGTTTCTTCTTCTAGGGTTTCGGGAGACGAATTGATGTTTCATTGTCTGCTCAATTTTTATTAAGGTGTTCTTAAAAATTCATATAGGGTCATGTCGGATCAGATGGGGGCCACTTATCAAATTAATATTAAAGCTGGGACGTAGGACTCTGCAACATTTTCTCCATGTTTGACAAGGCAAGCATGACGTCACACAACTTTCATTACATAATCCTTCTTATATATCTCCCACGCTTTATTCTTCCACAACTCACAACAAACACAAACAAACACACACATACAACCACCTCTCTCGCAACACCAAAGCATTTACGGACCAGAGATACAAACATATCACATCGCCCAAACAGGCCCAACTAAAAGTCACGAGCCCAAACAGGCCCAACTCAAAGTATCACGAGGAAGGTAGTTATAATTATTACAATATTATTACTTATTATTACACACACGTGCGTGGGATTGCACTCTTCAGTTGTACAGCATGAGTGCTATATCAGCCACGGCGGAAGCTTCGGGCCTGGCGGGGAGTAACGGGTTCAACTTCCTCGGTGAGCTTCACGGAGGTGTACACGGCAGCGCCCGCGATGGCTCCGACAGTCGGTGCCACCAGATAGATCCATATCTGCGTGTAGTTTCCGGCAGCCACTGCCGGGCCCAGAGTGCGAACCGGGTTCATTGATCCGCCGGTCGATGGCCTGTATTTATTGAGAAAAATTAGAGACATATATATAATATGGTTCAAATACTTGCTTTTTTTTTTTTCCTTCGAGTTTTTATATGTACTACATATGTTTTATGTATTTAGATTAAACTTTAATTTTATTTTTTTATATTTACAATATATGAAAATATGTACTTCACTTGTAAATAATATATTAGAGTGATATTTTTCACGTAATATTAAAGATTTAATCGATATGTATATAAATATTAAAGTTTGATATTATGCAAATACACATATATATATATATATATATA